GGAGGGGGCTTTATTTATGGCTTCTCCCAGACTGAAGCTCATGCCTCATACTTGCTGGCTTGCCTTTTACTATTTCTATTCATTTAAAGATCCTATCCACAATAAAACTTATCAAAAAAAAAAAAAAAAAAAAGATCCTATCCACAATAATAAACTTTTAATGCTCATTATCTGCTTCCTGCTGCCTACTGGTCATAAATGAAAAGGATTTAAATCATTCAATTAGTTTGTCCTATCACTGGAAGTCTTTTTTTTTTTTTTTTTTTTTTTTCCTTGTAAATCACTGAATTTCCCATACAATATTGCTTCTGGGATAGTGATGGCATGATTGCCTCTATGTTTGGGTAGAGTATTTGGTTCATTTGGAACAAATTGTGCAATATAAATTACAAACATGTTTGTGAGATAATGAACTTTGCATGTTAGTGGCTGGATGTTTTATTTCATGATTTTCACCTTATAAATTTAGCTTCATCCTTGGATGGTTTTAATTCCCCCCACCACAACACCCCTCCTTTAAAAAAAAGACTTTGAGAAGCATTATTGCTAACATAATCCTTTAGGCTCTAATTATCTAATTCAGTACTCCTTTTTAGTATTGGCAAAAAAGGAATTTGTTTATTAATTGGTTGAATTTGGTTCTTGCAATTTTGCATGCTTTACATAATAATCATTAGTTGAATTTGTTTGTGATAGCAGTTTTTTTGGATCATCGCTTATGCATTCTAATGATAAAAATCTTAGCATTCATATCAATGCGTATATGTTATGCTATGCATTTAAATTAGTTACCGGCTAATCATCAAATCATTTGAGCGTAAAATGCTTTCCTCTCTTAAATGATATATATTTTTTAATTATGAATTTTATGTCTTTTACAGGCTGTAAGAGTTGAACATTGTGAGCGTGTTCATGTGATTACAGCAGCAAAACGAATCTGTATTGCCAATTGTCGGGAGTGTGTATTCTTCTTGGGGGTAAACCAACGGCCCCTTATTGTTGGCGATAACCATAAGTTGCAGGTCAGTGTTCTTTGTTCCTTACTGTGTACAATGCAAATTATGCCTACACCAGCATACTCTTTTTCTATATCGTGGTGATGATTCCCAGTCTGTGATTAATCTTTTAGTGTCTATGGCTTAGAATTAATAATATTTGATTTCTGATTGAAACCTTGTATTAGACTAGTGCTTGTTATAGATCAATATAGTCTGAGGGCGAATTTCTTGTGTTCTTGTGATGTTTAGTCTTTTGTAATATTTAATCATTCTGTTGTACCCTTGTACTATTATGCCTTTGTTTTTCTTTACATACCTTCAGAAAAAAGTGGCCAAACACGCGCAGATATGGGTGTTTCTGACCGTGTGGCTTGGCTTAAGGCACAGGCAGCCCATACTTGAGAGTTCCCTATTTGCTCCACTTGAGGAGTTACTTTTGTGATAGCATGTGTGAACATGCATTGGTGCCTCGTTGGTTACATAATTATGTATACATGCATAGCAGGTGGCTGAACAGAGGCAAGTATGGGTGTTCCTGACTTGGGGTTTGGCTTGAGGCACAGGAAAACCACACTTAGAATTGCCTATTTGCTCCCCCACTTCAACCGTATCCTTGTGTTGCTTGATGTAGTTGTGTATAGAATGCATGAATGTGTCTAGCGTTACTTGCGTCATGTTAATAGATAGCATGTTCTTACTTGTTATTAATTGTACCAAAAATTTTGCATTGTCAGGCAAAATGATGTATTGACCTAGCATAAACTGAACACTGAGAGAAAGAAAAATAATACAGAGAAAGTTTTCTCTGTTCTTCCTTTAAAAACAAAAATCAAATATTAATGGTGAAAGTTTGTCAAGATTTGATAGGTACAATAAACATAGATGGCACATCAAGAACAAGCATTGGAGATCACATTTTTTACCCTGCTGACCGTATTAATTGACTGGAATTGTTTCACTTAAGATAAGAGTACCTGAGCAATGACTGTAATATCCATAATTATATGAAGCATAGACATGGATATGGCATTGACACAACATCACAACAAATTGTGAAAAGAGTAGGCCATAGACACTAGGAGAATACAGTAGCAAATATATAAATGTTTATATATAAAATATAGTACATACAACAAACATCACCTTATGATAAGTAAATGAAAATCTAATATTCAATATATGGTTGTGGTATGCAATTTTTCATCTAGTGAATCGTAATCATAATACTTTCTGATTTTTTTTTTCCTTAATAATAATTACTGATCAGTGATCACAAAGACAAAAAAGGACTCTATATATATGTATGACTGTGCATGTAAATTCGTGGATATATGTGTGTGTATATATGCACACACGTTATTTTTTATAACTCCTATCCTCCCGTGTACACTCCTTTGATAAAATCTTATTGTTTGTTATTTTATTTTTAAAGTACGAACAAACTTTAAATAATTTTCATTTATTACTGTAAGATAATTTCTTTAACGATTAAACTTTCTTTCTTTTCTTTTCTTTTTCTTTTTTATTTAATTAAAAAGAGAGAGTTTTATCTCAATGTAGGATTTATTGGTTCAGAGTTGTTGGTTCGCAAGTATGCAAAGAGTATCAACTGTGTATCTGTGATATAATATTTTAATTTTATATTATGGACATATCTACAGCATGTTGGGCATGTGTCCAAAAGTGTTCCCTTCTCCTTTCTCATTCCCCTTCTCCTACATAGTGGCTTCTGCTTCAGCTGCCTCGTGCTGTCCTCTAACCAAAGCAATAAATGTACTTTTGCATGTAGGAATAGTCTCGAACATAAATGACTTCACTAATGGGCCATTTCATGTCCTATGGCAATTGCTTAAGACTACCATTGTCTTAAATAGGATTTGGAATGAGTTGATCGTGTTTTTTATGTCTTGTCAGCATAAATACATTTTTTTCTTAGTTTTCAGACTTTGCTCAAATAGGGAAGTGTAGGATATCAATAGGATCACATTTATTCATTGCTTGGGTCACTTGGTAATTTTGGTTCAGTCATCTTACTTTGATTGGAAAATTTTCTGCTTCTTTATTCAATGCTTCAGAAAAGATTGACATTTGGAACATTCTTTTCCTTTCTAACCAACTTCCATCAGGTGGCACCATACAATACATTTTACTCGCAATTGGAGGAGCACATGAGTCAAGTTGGTATTGAGGCAACAGTCAACAAATGGGATGAATCTGTGGCCCTGGGAGTGGTTGATCCGCATGATTCAATGTCTCATCCTGCTGGCGTTTCTGATGTTCAGACTGAGTCTGCTACACGCTTAGATCCTGATCAGTTTACAAATTTTTTGGTATGTATTATATTTCTTGTCAGCTAACTTGGCTTGAATATATAGTATAATATGACATTGCATCATTTAGTTTGATTGTTATTTTTCTGTCTATTCGCTTATTATTTATTTCTCTAGTTCTTGCTAATCTTTATCATATGCTCACCTAGGAAGCACGGACATGCCTAAAAGGGCAAAGAATCCGTGTCGGACACTGACACGCCTCGACATGGGCACGCCAAAAAATGTGTCCAAATAATTTATATTTTCTTGAATATCCGGGCACGCGTCTGACACACCATGGATACATGTTCGACACACGTGTCCCATTTATGGGGATTTTTAAGAAAGTTTTAGAAACAATGTTGAGTTGAAGTATAAATATAAGGAGTTGTTTAATAGCTTTCAGCAATATGATGGTAATTACATAATTACTTAAAAGTTGTTGTTTTATCAAACAGTTTTATATTAAAACAATTAGATATTTACCTTATATTTTAGTTCAAGGTTTGAACTCTTGCACGATCATCTTTGACTCTCTTGTTCTCCCACCAACCAAGCTTCGCTACCGGTGGATGGTCTCTCTATCTCTCTCTTCTCTCTTCTCCTTTCTCTTTTCTTTCTTCTTCTTCATCCTCCTCTTTTCTTTCTTCTTCTTGTTCTTCACAAATCCTAGATACTTATTTTTTTCCTTTCACAACAAATTTCTTTTTCCCTTTTCCTCTATTCCCCATGAACTTTTTTCCCTTCTATGGATTCTTACGTTTATTTTTAACTAATGCCTAATTCTCATTCTTACAAAACCCTAATCCTCTTTGTTTTTTTAACCTTTTTCCCTCTCTTTCTTAACCCTTTTTCTATCATTCTTTCTTTTTTCCAGCAAAACACCATTTTTTTTTTTTCATTATGAGGTTGTACAAACTAATATTACTCTTACTTTCCTTAAAGCACAACATCATATATATAATATATATATTTATTATTAGCCATGTCCCCGCCGTGTCCTTGTCCTAATGTTTCTAGATTTGCCGTGTCACTGTATCCGTTTCCGTGCTTCTTAGAATTGCTCACATTTAATTGTTTGAATCCTAACATCATATAATTATGAACCCTAATTTTGTAATATTTTATTCTCATTCCGTTTATAAATAATAAACGAATTAATTGGCCCGCGCGCGCGGGGTGTGCGGGTTGTTTAATTTTAAACTACATGGCTTTCAAATTTGTGTTATAATACTAACACATACAGCTTGTCTTTTACACAGATTCCAAATTGGGTTGGAGTTGAATCCTCTGGATCTACTAAAGATAATCCATATCCCTTACCCGATGTCTATATGACATCGCAGCAGAGAAATGTATGTGGGCCAAACCTTCTCCTTAATGCATGATAATTTGGTTGGTTTGCATGAATGCCCTGCAATTTGGAAAATCTCTTATTTTACTAACCAAATGTTTGATAAAACTTTTTATTTTTATTTTTTATATCAGCATAGAAATTTAGGGGAGATTAAACAAATATTGAGGGAAACACAGCTTGAAGATAGCCGGAAACGGGAATTATCAAGTGCTCTCCATGTATACTTTAAGGACTGGTTATACGGTAATGGTCATCATCACTCTATATTGTTGTTGCTTTCATCTTTTTGCTCCTGATGAGTAAATTATTTGTTACTTATTACATATTCACAAAATATTATGTATTCCTATATTGAGTGAAATGCAAATGTTTGGGATGGATGTGTGGCAAGACTAAAGAATATAAGTAGGAAAACCACACTAGTTGCAGAAGAAACAAATATTTTCTTGAGTTGACTAAAGTTGTTACTCGTGAACTTGAGATGGTTGAAATAGAACCCATTAATTATAAAATTGAAGAAAATCAATTGAGATGATTTTGTCATTTGCTTCGAAGACCAACAATTACAACATTGAGGAGTTACTTGATCAACATTGAGAGTAATGTCAAAATAACATGGGTAGGGTAAGGAAATACATGATGATGGATGATTTGTACAAGGTTTTGGCCTTTAGAATGGAATGAAAAAGCAGTTTTTTCCTGATAATTGAAGGTCTTGTTAAGTAAATTATTTGTTTCCTTTCTTACAACCTATGTATTTTTTGTCTATTGGAGATCATACGTTTTGGGAACTCACTCAATTCCCTATTTAACAGCAAAATTTGATGAACAATCTAAGAAACTGATGAAATGAAATATCATTGCAATTTCTTTTTGCATTTCTTAGCTGAGTTCCTGTGCTAATGTTAGTATTTGTTAGAACCAAATTCAACCCATTGCTAGATTTTTGTATGTCCAACCATTCACTCAATTTGCAGTCACTCAACCTATATCTGACCTGACAAGCTACCTGGGCTCACAATTATGGCGGGCTCAATCAACCAGTTACATTCATTTCAATCTAGTATTTGACTGCATCCATCTAAGGTCAGGTTGGGTGTTTATTACAACCTGTTTGAGTTCCCATCCTGAGTGGCATCATTGATGTCTAGCTTTCAGTCAGGTACTTTTATAGTCCCTCTTTATCTGTGGAGTTGTTTAAGGATTGTAGTTGTCCTTCATATAGTAAAACTTGAAAATATTTGTTATCGATAAGCATTAAGATAAAACTTCCATTTTAAATGAATTCCTTGCACATTATATGCATTTTTATTTCTTATTAATTCTATTTTATCATTATATTTAAAACTTGTTTGTTTGAAGAATTTTTCATTCTAAATGAATTCCTTGCACGTTATATGCATTTTCATTTGTTATTAATACTGTTTTATTATTATATTTAAAACTTGTTTGTTTTAAGAAACAGACAATTAATCAATAAGATGAGGATATTGACTCCTAGTTTCAATGACTTGACAGCTTCAGGAAATATCCGGCAACTTTACTGCCTACAAGGTGATTGAAATTGTGTGGTTGCCGCACAACCAAAGGATGGGACATGGAAGAAATGAACTGGTTTCTGTATCTCTCAAGTTTTGACCCGTGCAAATTTGTAGTTTGGTACTGCAGGCAGCTGAGAGTCGAGGCCATTTATATTTTGATGGCATACCTGTTTATGTATTGAAAGTATTGTGCAGAATGCAATTAGATAATATTTGCTAACTTAAATGTAATTTTTTTTTTAATGAAAGAATCTTACTGTTGTTTAAATGAAAATTGTTAATATTTGTTCTGTTGTCAGAGATTTTGTCTTTAGATTTTTTCTCAATGTAGTTGAAATGAAAATTGTTGATGCGGGTGTTCATATGGTTGTTTCGATGACTGGACTATACTTTTAAACAGAGACATCCTAAATGTTGTGCCTTGGACTTTGCAATCTTTTTACATTCTTTTAAATAACCTCGCTTAAGATTGTTGTGACAGTGTTGCACTCATCCACTGCAACCTAACTTTTGTAGAATGAGAAAATCAATACAATTAAGTATGCAACATCATTTGGCACAGATGTACACCAAATTACCCCACTTGATATATATATATATATATATATACTAGAAAAATCAACGTGCAATGCACGTTTGATTATTATTATTATCATTTTTCATAAATTGCTTTAGATTCTTTGTGCAGTATAATGAAGAAGTCGACCAAAAAAAAAAAAAAAAATTTGTATATCTAACATCATAATATTAATAAACTTGTTTAAGTCATGTTTATGTTGTGTTAAATACTTAATCAAAGTGACTTTAATAATTAGAGATATATTGAGTACCACTCATTGTGAAAAATATGGTACAAGAAAGAAGAAGAGATTAGTAAATTAAGCCCAATTGAATAATACCAATGTTGCACTATTATAACTCCTCTCCAAAGTTAGATTAAGAAAAAGAAGATAAATCATCAATAATGACTTCAAGGAGCCACGAAGGTCTATTGCATAATGAGACACCAAACCAACTAAAAACCCAAATTAACTTTCAATATAAATTTTATATCTTCAACAACAATGGATCAGATGTCTTGAGGTAACTCCTCTGTTTTCTATCACCTTTTCAATAAACCAATTAATATTTGAAAATTAATTAATTTTTGTTTTTTTAAAAGAAATGCTATCAAATTCAAACTACAAATTCTATTACAAACTTTAGATAATAAAGTTAAAAAGTATCTCCATAAACACCAGCATTAGAAAACTTGAATTACTCACCCTAAAAGTTTTTGATATAATTATGTACATTAGTGAATTATGATGTAAGGTGTGCCGGCTAATTGTAAAGAATCTAAACACGCCTGAAATCCTCCTAATTACATGCATGTGAATCTAGCCCTTTAGTCATATCTAAATCTATGGCATGCGAATTTTCTTTTCTTTTTTTCATAATCCTAATTTTCGGTAGAAGAGGTGTTTGAATGTGAATGTAACTCCTTAATTGTTAAAACTTGGTATATATAAAACTTACATAGGTTTGAATTTTTTCATTTATTATAATTAATTACACATGACATGTCCAAAATTGTAAAATATGCTAACAATTTATATATACGGATAAAAATGGCACAACTGTTGACTTTAATAATGAAAGATATATTACTGAATTGGTTATATCTACTATCATTTATTTTCATTGAAAAATAAAATTTCAATTCTAATTTCATTAGAGAGGTGATTTAATTTAATTACGTAACCATCAATGTGAACAACAAAGGAGAATAGGAATTTGGTTTAAAAGGTGTTTGAATGTAAAACTAATTCTTTATCAACAATAATCTATCCAGTTTTAAAAAATATTAGTAATTTGTTTAGTTTACAAGAGTGTTAAAATGTATATAATACTTTCTCAAGTCCAATAGAAAGAGATATATATGTGTATATATATATACACACACACATGATAGTAAAAGAAAAAGAAAAAAAACCTGAAACTCATTGGACGATGCATCATTGAGGCCACCATCCATATACTGTGTTAGATAACCCTAAAATTGCAAACATTTATAAGTACAATAAAGAATACAGAGTTAGAGTTTCACATGAAGATTTCTACTAGTATTTTCATGAAAGAGGTCAATGATTGGATAATGTCAAATAGAGATGATCAGGGGGTGTTCTTCTCTTTTTAATCTTTCTGAATGATTTCTGTAGCTCTTCGTCAACAAGATTCAATCAACAATTCCCAAACTTCTCGTCTTTGTTGACAACCATCTCTAGATCTCGTTTTGTCTTTCTTCTATTTCAATGTTTTCGTGCCAAAACTTTCTATTGAATAAGTCCTTTCCTGACTTATATATAACCGTAACACAATCTACCGATCGATATGCAACTTTTGCCAAACATTTGTGTCCCTTAAAAAAGGAAAGTCATGAACGTATGTGTCGCTTGAAGAAAGGAAGCAATGTGCAGTTAGATCAGTATAAGGAAACGTTGCGTGTTTCTAAATTAAATTATTAAAAACAAAAATTTAATTCAAAAGATATTAATTCATTGTTTTATTTGAAATACAAAGTAATATAAAATTATTAAGAAATATATAAATAATAAAAAATGTTTAAATTTCGTATAAAACCAATAGATGTAAAAGTTTTGTCAAAGTTTGTGTCCTTTGGGAAGCGTGAAAACCATTTAAATTTTTTTTAATTAAAATAAGTGTTTTAAAGTGTATATAAATATTATACATTGAATCCACATTTATTAGTAGTATAGATATATATGCAAGCAAGCAGTAGCATGAGGATCAACTAAAATGTCAAATGTCCAAAAATCAGGCTTGTTACACTAGTATTAAAACATTACATGGTCATTTACGGATGTTCACCTATTTTCGATCTTATCCTGTAATTCAAACATCTGAATTCCCTCGTGACAGAGGCGGAAAAAGTGTAATAATTTTGGGTTCACTCAAGGGAGTTAGCTTGCAGGGGCCATTTGAAGGATCTGCTCTGCTTGCTCCGGGAAGAATGTTATGAAAAGAAAGGCACCTGGGAATTCAATAGTCATATTATGATGTATGAAGCAAACTTTCACAATTATTTCTAAGGTAGGTGGTGTTCAACTTACAGATAAGTACAGTTCCAAGTATAGCAGAGATTTTGCCCTGCACTGTAACTAAACCAGCTTTCCCTGCATCTTGCAGCTCGGTGGAACCAACAGTCTCGAAAGTTCCTGAAAATTACAAATTCTTAACTTCATAATCTCTGGCTGACTTAAATATAAGATAAGTGCCGGAATCAGATTTTAACCTGGTTTTACAGATTGAAGGCCGGATGTTATACATGCTATATTCTGGAAACCACCTTGCTCTAACCTGTTGGCAGCAGCAGCAGACCTTGAAGAATAAAAAGAACAATAGTCTTGTCAAATGGCTTCAAGATAAGGCAAAAACAAAAACTTGACTCAAATGGCTTCAAGATAAGGCAAAAACAAAAACTTGAATGTGAGTTGAAAATGATTAGAAGAATGTAAGTCAGGATCTGATCATAAGCTATTATTATTAAGAAAGATGCCACACTAAAATATATGTGATGGCAACTGGTCTATTTTTACTGTAGGTCTTTTTGTTCTGCTTACTGCTATGTAAAAGGTACTAAAAGTTGTTTATAATTGGTAATAATGCTCAATGAAAGCATTCCAAGAGCGCCAACTTGCTCCGGCAAAATTCAAGTAAATGCACAATATTGTATTCTTAAGAACAGGAAATTGAGCAGACAGCCATGGGGTCTTGCACCCAAATCCTCTTGGCAGGCCTGTTTATTATAATATAATAGCATTAGCAAATGAGAGTTGCCTTTGACAATACCTGGAATCAAAGTATTTGGTTTAAAAAATCTACTTTTAACAAGAAACACATTGGCCTTTTGGAACTTGAAAAGATGATCGCACTTGGCATTCTTCATTCATCACTAGATGGCAATACTAGATCTTATCCTTTCAATTTTATTTCCTCATGCCTTTCAAAGAATTCCAAGTTGTGTCACATTCATTCATGCTATACTATGCAGTAATACTATGCTATATGGTTCAATAACTTCTAATAGCTTTTAATCTACTAAGCTTACAACAAAGAGTAGATACGTCCTAAACCAAATATTTATGAATTCAATTCATTAACTCATGCTTGTATTCTTCAATTGGCCGGCCGCACACCCAATATGAACAAGAATGCATTTAGTGACCGGGTAAGACTATGCTTATAATACTCTCTTGGGTGGTTGTTTAGGTTTATTGTGAGTTGAGAAATGCCACACGTGTGACAGTAATATGTTTATCAAGAGGTTTTACAGAATATTATGAGAATCAGCGGCAAGTAATCCACGAAAATCTTACCTCAGTCCTTCCTGACAAACAAGTAACAGCTTGCTTTCAGGTGAAAACTGGCTCTTCACAGATTGCACAAAATCAGGATTGAGTTTCGTAAATGGCAACCCAAAAAATAAACCAGAAAAGTTGTTGTGCACTGTCCTCTTTATTATTGTGCCTGCACTTGGGAAAAAAAAACTGAACTTGAAAAGCTGATTGGCATTCCTAGAACAGTGTATTCACCACTAAATAAATTGTAAAACGATAAGGGACAGCAAAAAAAGAAGCAATTGAGAATGAGATGAAGAGTATACCAAAGTCATTGTCCTGATTTTCAATGAAAAGGGGGACATGATAACATTGTTTTATATGTGCTCGATCATACTGAGTTTTGTCCCGCACATCCAAAATTGCATACCCCTCAACTGCTATAAGTTTTTTCGCTTCTTCAGCCTTCACATAATCCACTTCTGCTTTAATTTCTAACCTTCTTCGACGAAATGATTTCCCTTCTTCCATGGTCCCTCCTCGATGAGTCTCTAATACTAACCAAGATGTCCCCAAATTGCTGAAAACACATCATGGTCTCTTACTCTCATAGATATAATGATTGAAGTTTAATATATGTATATATATACTAGTTGGACCCGAACACATTTGTTGTGTAAACTCGAGCCATTACCAACATCACCAACACAATCAAGAAAAGGGAAAGATGTGGCATCATTTCTTATATATAACCCCGGAGTGACCCTAATTCAGAAAAATTTGTTAAAGATTCCAAAATATCACATGCAAAAACAAAAAAAAAAGAAACCTAATATTGAATCCTAAGGAAAACAAAATAGGGTATTAATATAATTTCACAGCTTCCAAGTGCCTCCCTATTGTGTTTCAAGTAGAGATTCTTAGCTGAAAAACCTAGTTTAATGCTAAGGTGTATCTAACATACAAAAATTGAGCAATTGGGGTATAACCCGACACTGTTTCTTTTGGAACTCTCACAGGGAAACTGGAATAAAACAATCCCATTTTGAAAATGGAGGCCAATTTTGCATCACTGTACTAAAATTCTCAGATCTCTCTAAACATTCCATTAGTGTACACTACTGAGAAAAAAAAAAAAAAAAACAGAGGACAAAGGAGAAATCAGACTATAATGTTTTTATGCACTGTTTTGGTGTTTTCAATAAGCAGGTTGCAACGGAGATTTGATAATGCAAAATATCTGAAGACTCAGAATTTTAATCCCTTTGATTTCCTATAATTTCCCGGCAACCAAACAGAGTTGTTTAAAAATGGGAATGAAGTATTGGAATTAAGTTACCTCCGAGAAGAGAGTGTGGAGAAACAACAGCAACCAATCGCCGCCATTTATGAGAGTTTTGATGTGATTACTTTGCTTTGCCCCCTTCTCTCTCTCTCTCTCTCTCAGACTGAAAGAGTGTGATTGGCACCATGAATAGCCCAAAGAAATTTCAGAGGATGAATGGGTTACTGCCACGTGTAAATAAGATTGGATATATTACTCTATATTAGTATATTATAATTATTATTTCTCCAATTTTCATCCTGATGCGGAATATACTGTATCACATTCTCGAACACTTGTTGGACCAGCCAAACCTGAAGCCCAATTCTAATGAATTGGGCTTTATTGTTTGATTAATAAATTCTTATCCATCTTTGACTCGCATTTTCCCTTCATTTCGCATTTTCCCATCATTTCGCGGGAATTTCAATACCATTCAAATTCAGTCTCAATTCCGTCTTCAGTTTCTTTTCATTTCAATTTAAAAAATCTCATGCTTTTGTTTCTCTCTCTACTCACACTCCCACTCTCTTCTCTTCATATATGTCATCACACTCCCTTCATATATCTATCTGGTCAGGCCCAATCCTTGTACATATGGGTGGAAGCAAAGATTGATTTTTGTCCACTACAGCAAAACTAGCTATCTTGGTCTTAGAAGCAGGTCTAAAAACTGATCGGTGTATAGCTTTAATATGTTAAATAGAACATAGGAGGCACATTGTATATCAACTAAAAGAAATCTTATGTTAAAAAAAGAAAAGAAAAGAAAAGAAAAACAAAAAAAAGACCTTGAGTTCATCATGGAATATAGAAAGAACATTATATACAAGAGGAAGAATCTTCTTGATTCAAAGCATAAATGGAATTGTTAGAATTTGAAAGAATTAAGAACATTAATGAACCACAAGTCTGTTGTGCAAGAAAGATACTGTTTGTTTGTAATACATGAAGTGGAGAACTGGACAAATGGATATGTTGCTCTGAGAATCACAGAACTAACATTACAAAATCATCATGCTCAAAAACAACAACACACACATTTAAGGCAAATCCATCCATAGCTTTTGCTCTATGATATCAGGCCGACCTAAAGCTGACAGTAGGAGAGCCAAAGAAGCGAGTTTGGGTTGAACGGAAGGACTTGTCAAAGGGGTCAGCAGCTTCACTGGTACTGGTATCCGCTATGTTGCTTTTCCCTGTTCCCACCCTTTGTAACAGGCTTGTCAGATGCTCCACTATTTCTGACATCGGTGGCCGGAATTCCTTCTCAGGCTGAAATGTTCAAATTCGAATAGAACCACAGTGAATTCTAAATTGACTAAGTGATCAAATTTTAGACAACTTCCAATTTTATATCAAGTTTTAAAATTGGATTCCATCTAAATAGCTAAGTAGATGATGCAGTGATGTAGTAGTTCACAAAGAAGCAGAGACCTCAACTTTACATGTCAATGTGCTGTGTATTCACCTCCTAATACGCTTGGTGTATGTATGATTGTGACATGTTCATACCTGAATACAGAGGGACACAATATCAGCAAACCGGGAGAGACACTTGGAGGACAGTGTTCTTTTGATGGTTGGATCAACCATTTCATCCAAAGACTCGTTATCATGAAGTCGAGATGAAGCCCATTTCACCAAAGATTGTTCTTCCCTTGGTCTTGAACTGTTTAGAAAGAAGAGACAAGTGTGATGCTAAAATATGAGGGTAACTAACCATAGAAAAATCAGGAAAATGGGCATGCATCACACCTATCGAAAGGCCTCCTTCCTGTTAACAGCTCTAAAAGCAACACTCCATAGGCATAGACGTCACACTTCGTGCTGTTATCTCCATGGTGAACATGCTCTGGTGCAATGTAGACAGTATCACCCAGAGCCATTTCGGAAGCCTGGTTGCATCAGTGATCAATGACAATGGTGATATTTGTTAGTTGGCAAACATATTTATTTATTTCCTATTTGAAACTCACACGCTCACTTCACCCCCTATGGAGGGGGACTTGAACTCTTGACTACCAGTAGGCTACAGCCACTTTCATCACAGAGAAATTCAACATAGCTCACATTATTGAATTACCTCTACGATGCTTCTCAGTTAAAATACAAAACTGTCTTACGAACATGTACCTTAACTTTAACACTGTTGCTCGTAAGCGGCCTCAAAATAGCTAGACCACAGTCACAAATACGAGGCATAAGCTCTTCATCAAGCAAGATGTTAGCAGCCTTTAAGTTGCAATGAGCGATTGCAGGGAAGCATGTGGAATGCAAATACCTGAAAACATCATAGAAAGTGAAACAATCAAGAACATATATACAGAGGACTGGAGGCAAGAATGTGGAATGCAAATAGCTGAAAACATCATAAAAAGTAGAAACAATCAAGATCATATATACCCAGAAAGAACTACATCTAAAACTGGAAGAGGAACATATATGTAAGGATCCATATCTCCAGCGGATTTAAGTGCAGCATTCAAAAAGCATATAACTATCATTGCTCAACAAAGGAGTTACATCGAATGATATCATACCCTTAATGTGCTGTTTGACATGCAGTTATTGATTCCCTACTGTCCTACAACTTACAATGGAAACCACAGTAGATACTTACGATAATGCCCGAGCTATGCCAAGAGCAATTCGGATGCGGAGGCCCCAAGACAGAGGCATATAAGCATCACAATGCAAAGCATATTCAAGAGACAAATTTCTGATATACTCGTACACAAGGAGATGCTGTCCATGCTCAACACAATATCCAAGAAGTGCTACAATGTTAGGGTGCCTCAGTCTGGCTGTACGACGAATCACGTCCAAGAATTGTTCTTCTTCATTGAGAGACAGTGCGGCTGTCTTAATGTTCTTCACAGCCAAAATCTTGCAAAAAGAAAGAACAACAGTCCAATAATTTACTTAAAGTCTGGGATATTTTTTCTTTTACAACTACCAAGAAGTATCTAATTTCTTACTTGTCCATCAGGGAACTCTGCTTTGTAAACAGAACCAAGGGATCCCTCTCCAAGAAGGTTCTCTTCGCTGAAGCTGTTTGTTGCTGACTGAAGCTCTGCCACAGTGTAAAATTTTGCACTTAGTGAGATTATGTGCTTCTTACTGAAACTTCGTCTTCTTGACAATTTTTCAGTTCTGGGGCAAACAGATGGTATTAGGCTTGAAGCAACCAATGCCACAGGTGGAGAGCTAATAGGAAAGATCTGTGGGCTCTCTTCCGGTGCAGCAGAAGAATAATCTGTCAATGAATATAAGAAAAGTATATAAAGAAATCAATGAGAGAAGCACACTTCTTGTTCCATTGAAGAACTTCTGTAGCTCAAAGAGTGGATAAAACAAAAAGAAGCACATAATACCAACAAGAATGGGATTATATTTAGTGAAGTTATATGCCATTGGTAGCGTTAAAGTTTCAAATTTGGGAACTCAACTTAAAACCCCATCTAATAAAAAGCAAACGCAAGAAGTTACCCATAATAGGTGTTCGTCAGATGAACAAAACAGAATACTAAGTACTCTCATTAATATGAGTGAGGAAAAGCTAGGTTTACTCCAGGATTAACAAAAAAGTTCAATTGTATATGCGAGTGTCAGAAACAAAACAAGATGGAACCTATAAATGTAATGTTCATCAAAGAACTCAACTTAAAACTCCATTTAATATGAGTGAGAGGTAAAGCTAGGTTTAGTTCAGGATTAACAAAAAAGTTCAATTGTACATGCCAGTGTCAGAATCAAAACAAAGATGAAAACTGTACAATGTCATGTTCATCAGAAAACATTGGATGCTGAACTTTGGATGAACTTCGGATTTTCAGCTTCCACTAATTAAGATCCACTCTAACCACATTTACTTATCCAAAAAAGAATGATATAGCAAATATACCTCGAATTCCACTTTTAGTTCAACTATATAATATGGTAACTACACAGATATTAATCGCACCAATGTAAATTTACCTATATATAAGGTACGTTTCTATGATGTACTAGTACATGATGGTTTTCGTTTGTTAAAAAAGTAAATTCAACTTTGAAAATTAATGAAAAGAGTTATATAGTTCAAAAATTCAATTTCAGTTTTGCAAGGCACCATTCCATCATTTAAATTCTACAACACTTTTCTCAATATTCACAACTATCACAACTTGCACACACAAAATATACAGTAGTTTACACAGTTTATATACGTACGTTGATAAAAATTCTCAACTCTTGCTGTACTGAGTGGAGGAGAATTCTGGGAGCCCTCACCGATCTCCACACTTGGGAGCTTTTGGGTACGAGATCGCTGAATGCGTATCAGAATGATGAGTGCTGCACAGGTTGCCACCAGAGTTCCACCACCAACCATAAAGGCAATTCCTCCCGGGCCTAGTCTTTTCTTCTTGTGTCCAGCTACTCTGCGAGGAGGATAGTTTTCAATGGCACTTGACTTGGTAGTTGGGGGACTACTGATATTCCGCTCAGAGGGCATAGTTTCCAGAGGGAAATCCCAGGCTGGATAGTTTTCTCCTACCTGAAATCTATTCCCTCCAATCCTAAATAGAGATGAAGAAGTGACATAAGCAATACAGACTATGATTTCAAAATTCATGCATGCAAATAAAGAGACTACAACGGGGAACTGGAAAACTTACCAAAGGTTTTTTACATATCGAAGCTGACTTGGAATTACGCCACTAAAATTGTTATCTTGGATGTTCCTGACAACAGAAATTGGTGAATTCATTATCAAACAAAACACATCAAAAGAAATCTTCGGACCTGCTTTGTAGCAAACATACAAGTTAGATAGAGGGAGACCAGCCAAAAAAGCTACCGAGCCAGTAAATTTATTATTCTGCAAGAACCTGCAAAATATCCAAATGAATCATGGAAATAAAAATGATGAAAAGAACTGCAGACAGGGAGCACCATGGGATAAACAAAGCAGAATAAAACTCACAATCCAGTGAGATTAGTCAGATCTCCGAATGAGCTTGGTAAATCTCCAGTGAAGTTATTGTATGATAGATCCCTGCAACAGTAAATTGAATTTTTATGAGAAAACGGAAAGAACACATCCCAGTTGATCACCGATGCTACAAAGCATGTTGTACGCAGCCTGCCGCCTGAGTTATTATTTCCCTTCACAGCCTTTTCAATTGATTCACGGTTCTGATATTCTCCTTAACTAAGTTCAATACTAAATTCAATTGTGCATTGACAGGTGTAGGGGTTTGCTTCAACACCAAGCAAAATGTATTTGGAAAATCAAGAATAAACATCAAGCAAAATGCATTTGGAAAATTAAGAATAAAAGATGGAGTTCTCTATGTGGTTGTTTCAACTTTATTATGTGAAGGGCGGGGATATGTAAATTCACAAAAATCTAGAACAGTTAGTTACTCACAAAACAAGCAACCTTAAAGTTTCACTTAGCTTCATCAACAGTCTAGCTGCCTTTTTTTTTTTTTTTTTTGAAAAGTAACAGTCTAGCTGCTTTGTTAAAGTACTCAGCAACCAAATTATACTTCAGTCCTCAATGCAAAATTCTCATTTAAGATGCAAGATAAAGGAATTGGGCAAAATCCATACATTTCTCTAAGATTTTGTAGGCCAGTGAATACATTCCCGACAGGTCCAGATAGCGAATTGTGGCTCAAGTTCCTGCAAGAAAAACAATTATGACTCGATAATCATTGACCGGCCAAAACTAGCAAATTAGGCAGTCAGGGAGAAGCAACTCACAAATGGCGAAGATTTTTCATTAAAGTCAAGGAGTAGGGAATATACAGGCTGAAATTGTTGCATGCCAAATTTCTGTATCCATAAAAACAATCAAGAATTCAACATAATTGAATAAATTATATAGAAAGTAGGTAATGTAAATCACAATCACTAAAAAGCAGGCATCTTACATATGCGTGGCATTAAGAGGTAAGCTGTATGGAATTTCACCCTGAATGTTGTTGGAGCTAACATCCCTATTAAAAAGAAAATAAAAATTAAAAAACTTGTCACAAAAATGAATTACAATATATCTTCCATGCATATTTGAACTTAAAATAAGTCATTACAAAAAAGCAGAATCACTTACAGTTGCTTCAAATTATGGAGATCTGAGAGTTGGAACCCCAGAGTTCCATTGAGCTCTAGGCCATTAAGTTTACTGCAGAGAGAAGAGAACAGGTCAATTTTGGGAAACTGCCACTATAGTGTGAAAAGGTTTTTTTTGTATAATAGATGATATGTAGTTACATTTGTATAACTGATGACTCAAAACATGAAACTCCTATCCATGATTCTTCGCATGGATCCCCGCCAACTGATTTCCATTCCTTGAGCTGTGGTGGGCCGTTCAGTGCTATGTACAGGCCTTGAAGGGCTTTGACTGTATAATGTAATGTTAAAAATTAGTTTATGGGGAGCAATTTTATATTCTTCAATATGACAAATTGTTAAAAAAAAAAAAAAAAAAGGTGACAAAATGTAGAATGCAATATCCAAGTTCATTCGGATTACAATTGGTGACTAATGCTCAAGTTGAAAGTGTGACCTTAATTCCAATCCTATCCTTCGCCATCTTAGGCTTGCTTAATAAATACGGTTTGATGATCTACATAGTGGACTATTAAACCTTATATGGAACATACAGCCTCAGATATCTATAAATTGGGACATTTTCAATCTATAATCATCTTTCTTGCCTCCTCCTGTTTAGTGATCTAGGTTGATAGCAAAAGCTCGTACAGGAAATAGAGGAGGTATGACCTAGGTCCTCCAAAAACTCTGATCTCAGTAGACAAAAAGAATCATGCAACTAATTCCTAGCACCACCATCGTCAATCATCTTTACAAAGTGTAAAGCCACTAACATTTGACTTGATATTCTCTAAAGCTCAAGCACATTGTGTTAGTAATTCCAGGTCTCACATGCCATTAATTTCCCGCCAATTTCACATGATGGAGATATCATAATCCTCATTATTACCATCAATTTTCAAATTTATCATCACAAGATCAACACACACAAAACACTCTAAAGATCATCAAACATGTACCCATTTCTTCCTTTATTCAAGAAATATATATATATATATATATATATTTACAGAGAAAATTATGTTAAAGAAGTGCAAGAATTTATGGAGAAAAGAGGGAGGATCGGAACAAAACCATCGAGAGGATTGGTGTAGGCGGAAGCCTGCGATACCAGAATTGCCGAGAAGACAATTACAGTGAGATATAACCAGATACACCACGTAGCCATCTTCCCAAGAAGCAGATTGTAGTTAATCACACAACGCTAGGCACATATATAAATCTCTGAATTACCCTGTAAACACAGAGAAATTTGTTAAAGAGAGAGCAAAATTCACACGCAAAATGATGATCAGAAACGCATAACAAGAAAGGTATCATTCCATGTAAGCAGTCTTCAAGAATCAGAATATATATATAACAAATTACACAATCTAGAATGAAGAAACTTGAATATCACATCAATATAATCAATTACGTATATGTGTCTATACTCGTACGGCAACGAATTGATCTTTAGTGCGAGAAGATTGAAGAACAAGAATTGTATTCAAATTGAAGACGAATATAAAACATTGCTCGAGAAGCAGTACAGAATCATGTAAATATAGATTGAAATCGCAGAGCGTTAGGGTTTGGTTATACCTTTGAAGAAGCTATTCTCTGTGTAGAGAGAGAGAAGGAGAGCGAGAGAGTTTTTGTAAGAGAGAGAAAGAGGGGGAACTTTCGATTGCGAGGGAAAAGTTAGAGCTTTTCTAACTGAACTGGCCTGTTAAGATGTGTGTGTGTGTACAGATGTAAATTTCTAGCAGAGTCGGAGTCCACGTCAGCTATATGACCGTTGAGTCGTTACAATCCACTTGAGTTCTTGACCGCCCTGACCGAGTGAGAGAGTCTGTTTGTTACAATTGCTAAAAACAATTGTTCTAATGCCTGTGTATGTATGTATGTTTTGCGCCTTCAATAGAAAGTCCTTTGCAGACAACACCCACGCAACAATTAATAAATTTCATTTTCCATTTGATTCTTTTCTTTTTATATTCTAAATTTCATTTTACTTAAACCCAATGGTGACAGGGTTTTAAATAATGGTAACTTTGCTGTAATGGTAATTAAAAGTTGTGATCACACTTTATTGGAATTGTAAATATTATTTTAGGTTGCATTTTGGTCGAAATTTTTCCTAAAACTCGTCTTTGATTGCATAATCCACGAATTTGAGTTTTTAATTATCTTTTTGAGAATTTGTTAAATTTATAAAGATGAATTTATATGTGTCTAATAGAAAAATATCTGAAATTTATGCCAACTGAAGCTGTAATAAATATATATATATAAATCTTTCTTTAAAATAATAACAATAAATTCCAGTTTATTAAAATGAGGAGTTTTCTTACATGCAAATGAAGGCATTGTGACGAAATCAACATATGGATTGGAAGACTCCAGTTCCCAAAGTCTACTACGATCATTGCTACTCTATACAAAATACAAACGCTACGTTTCAGATCACCAAATTGATGCTTGCAATTAAAATTAGACAGAATTTAATTCAGACTTTGAACCAAATTTTATTCAATTTAAAATTTTATCAAATTTTAAATCCATAACACTGATTCGATACTCCCAAACTGCACAATACGAACTGCAATACTTATCATGAATTGATATTTGATACAAGCATTCTTAAATCAAAATCCAAATCCAAATCCAAATCCATCCCAAAAGTCAAAACTTTTCCAGTAATACACCATGGTTTGCATGTTGATACCGGGATCTGCAAGACATTTGCAGCTTGAGCACATATCGGGTTTCTAATGCTTAAGTTAAGGAACTAGCTACGGTCCTCCGCGCAATGAAACCCAAAGGTTCAAAACAGAAAATGACACCTCTTTCTGTGGAGATAAAATTGCATACATCTAACCTCCCTCTGACCCAACAATGGCCAAGCATTCATGCACCGAGCAAACCCTACATTAAAGCAAGGTTAGGAGAACAGAGTTCAAAGAACATGGATTAGTTGACCATTGATGAGCAAGAAATCTGACGAGGAGTCATGATTCCACTGTTCAGAAGCTACTTTTCTTGGTCATAACAAGCTCCCGAGTAGAACAAACCAAAGCACCAATACCAAATACCTAAAACAGAGGCTACAGCCCTGCTTGTCATTTTTACAACCTACAAACAAAACAGTGACTCAGGAGAGTCACGTTTAGGTTTTTCCAACAAAAGCACAAAGATACACCAACCGAATATGTTTGTTTATTTAGAAGCAGGTCACTAAGGCAGCCATAAAAACCAGAGAGAAAGGACACTTAAAGAGACCAGTGCACGTGCTGAGTGGAAGAGTCATAGGCCCTGGAGACCTCAAGCTCCATGTATTGCCTTCCACTCTGTTGAGACAGCTCGTGCTCTCCACAATACTGACCACTGGCAGGCTGTGAAATTCGACCGAGACCCAGATCAGGAGGCATCTCGAGCGAACTGCCGCTGGCTTCATTACCCTTGAAACCCCATGGAGTGCTTGAAAAGTGATTGATGGTGGCTCCAAGAGGAGCTGTTGTTTGTTGAACTATGGAAGCCCTGTCGGCATTCAGTAAGTTACTCACCCCTAGACTAGAGGGTCGGTTTCTTGAGGCCCAGGGCTGATTTGACAGAAGAGAGAGAGCACAGTTCGAGTCAGAAGAGGCTCCTGTGAAACATCCTCCCGAAGAAATTCCGGTACCAGGATAGCCAGTTCCACCTGTTGAACCTTGCAGAAAAAAGTCTGGTGGAGGATTCTCCGAGTTGCTCTGCCATGGATGTGCAAGAAATTTTCCCGTGGCAACTGGTTGATTGCTCGACACCCGCTCAGATGCTTTGGTAGTTGGCCAAGGGTCCCTCCCAGAAAGACTAGGGTATGTAGTGAAGTCCATAAGAAAGCTTCCAGTTCTGTTGTTTTCTGCCAAAGCAAATAGCAAACATCTGATCTCAGTCTTAAGCACAAAGTAAAACAAAACTCCAAAAATTATTTATGTTTGTGGAAAATTCAAGGTGGTCCTGAAAAGGATATTCTTTCGGTGGTGTCTAACCAAAAGTAGAGGACGATAGACGTCCGTAGCGCGAAGACAATAGAGATCCAGGTGGTGGCTTTCTCCTACGCTCGTTATGACCAGCTAGACGTCTGCGGCAACTTCGTTTTCCTTGGTCAAATTCAGGAAGCAGATGGAATCTGGCAGAGACTACCCAAGAAATATTAATTCTAATGCATATGGAAAACATAAAACACCAATACATCATCACATTTGTTCAAAAAAAATAACATTTCCAAGAAAACGAGGAGGAAAGATACAGCAAAAATTGTATCAAGATTTACCGCCACTTAGCAATTTGCTTACATCCATAAAAAATGAGGATGATAATCCTGAGAATAGTGATTACAACTACAAAAGATTCCCCTATTGTCATCCAGATGAGACATGCTGGCCAGGTCGTAAGTTGACACTGAACCAACAACTGACAATGCATCTGTCCATCGTTTCTGATGACAGATTTTCCTAGGCAGGTGGGTTAGTTAACTGATTCCAGAAGCACAAACTCTAGCTAATTTCCCATATCTTACTATTTTAAGGGTTTGTGTTAAGCAGATATGCCACACAGTCCAAACTAGAATCTGCACTTGGAATTTGAGAGAAACTCAAGTATAGACTTATTCTTCTCTGTCCATTTTTCTGATGACCGATTTTCCTAGGCAGGTGGGTAAGTTAACTGATGCCAGATCAGGGGACATTCTTCAAATAAAAAGGGCATCCTTTATTTATCTTTTTTCTCTTAGCTAATTTCCCATATCTTACCATTTTCAGGATTTGTGTTAAGCAGATATGGCCACACAGTCCAAACTAGAAGTCTGCACTTGGAATTCGAGAGAAACTCAAGTATAGACTTATTCTTCTCTAACTTAACAACACCGACCATATTAATTGTCCCCAAGTTTATGGAAAGATTGGAATAGTCAAAGAGAATTTTCAATGTCTGAACCATCTACTCTTGTCATCATTAAAGCACAATAGAAAGTGGCAAAAAGATAAAACATAAACTTCTTTCACATAAATAAAAAACTTGAAGAGGAATGACACCAGAGAAACCCTGCCCATGTTCACCACTGTAGTCCCTTCCAATGTCTCATAGTTGAAACCCCTAACAACAATGAATGTCCTTTAAAATAGTGAATAGTATGGTGTCTTTCACTTTCCAATAGCTCATTAAGCTTTTTCTTGACAAAGGAAGGAATAAAAAGTCAATATAATGAGGTATCGAGGTTCCAACAAAAAACTCCATTTGATTTTGGAATCATTTAACTGGTTTTATGTGCAACAGAGTTGGATTACTGATGATGGCCAATCTTCCTGGTTTTATTTCAGGAAATGACTTTGCTTGTTTTGTAAAAGACTACAATCTAAGAATGGGTTCGATCCTCACAAGCCTCTAAGGAAAAACTTCAGTTTTACGGGAATACAAATAACATCCTCTAAGAAAGCCAACTGACCTTAGTTTTCTCATGCTAAGAGCCGAGGCTTCAGTTTCAGCTCAATCATCAGGAATTTTCTCCATTAAGGAGGCTAGCCACAACAAAGTCCAACTTCATTACACCCATCTTAAAGAAAATGCTGTGGATTACAGAGCTCTTTTCCATTAAGGGTTTGGTAACCCAGCATCAATAACAGAACATACATTTTCAATCTTCCAATCTGAATCCATTCTAACATCAAGACAGTTGAAAGAAAAAGATAATTTACAAACAGTAACAATAATAATACTGATGTTAATAGCTCTAATTAAATTGCAATTTATTCCCCCCCAGGTGGGTGGGGGAGTAGATTTTTGGTAAATACATAACTGCACTCTGCCATATGCTAAACCCCCCACCAAGGTGGGTGGGGAGTAGGTTTTGGTAAATACATAATTAAATTGCAATTTATTCCCCCCGCACACAACCACCCCCCCCCCCCCAAAAAAAAAAGGTGGGTGGGGGAGTAGGTTTTTGGTAAATACATAACCGCACTCTGCCATATGCCCCCCGCGGCGGGCGACAAACTAGTACTGTTCTGAATCTAGCCCCACGTGATCCAGATAACATTTAAACCATTGTTCCTTGATCAATGAAATTCCATATTCTTTATTACGGTACATACCGGAAAGTATATGTTCTGAATCTAGCCCCACATGATCCAGATAACGTTTAAACCATTGTTACTTGATCAATGAAATTCCATACTCTTTATTATGGTACATACCAATGTAAATGGAAAGAATGTGTTGTGCACATGGAAGCATATTCACATTGATATCAAATCACGAACAATTAAATATCACAACAATACAATATTTAATGCAGTTGACAGACCTGCATACGTCCATGACTGAGAAGAAATAACCCACTCAGAATTCCATAGAGGAATAAAAGAGGGTAGAGAATATACAACCACCAAAAATGACATAAACACTCGACAGTGTTTCTTAGGGGTAATGAGACTAAATCACTACCTGCTTCTCTTCATCCAGTGATCCCAAGTCATCAATCAATTTCCATTTATATTTGCCCTCTAAGTATCTAAAAAACGATGTATGAGGTGAAATTAGCACAACCCTAAAAAACTCATCTACTCTTTTGAGTATTTATCTCTTATTCTTGATCCAAAAGTCTTCCATAGCAGCTTAGGCATCTATTCATAGTCCTAAATCAGTAACAAATTTACAAGCACAACACATCGCAATTTAGAGACCATTGTGATCAAATGCAATTTGACTTGATATAATTTAGAAAAAAGAAATTGTAACAGCAAAACCATAATTAATTTGGGAATCATTTCACCATAATTTGAAGTTATTTCATCAGCAATGGCTACAGAGGCCTTTGCCACCTCTCTTAATCAGCTTCAAGCACTTTTTCCCCTTTTCTTTTATATTCATAAAAGGTACATATTTATATTTGATATCATGATATGTGTAATATATTTTAGTGCTAATCCCAACACAGAGAGAGAGAGAGAGAGAGATGGATTGGCCGAGTCATCGCGGTATGGCAAGGTTTATGTGTGACAAGTGAGTCATCTCACATTATAGGATGAGACAACACAACTGAGTCATCTCACATTATAGAATGATACAATATTATCCTACTAATTTGTGTACCATATCAGAATTCATGTAGATGCCAAGGCAGAGTCATGGTTGGATTGGATGAGGATTTAGCACACCTACCCATCCTAGTCAAACAACTTACAAATAACAAACTCAATTTAAGGCTCTATGACCACAAAGCACAAAGAGTAGGTACCAAAATTGATTGGTAAACATTTACAAGTGGTGTATGAAGACAAAGAGCAAGTACTAAACAAAACATCAATAAGAATCAAGTATAGAGCATAATCATCCAAACATAACAAACACAAAAGTCTAAACCCCAATAATGTTAAGTACTACTAACAAACAAACCCCACAAAGACCTAAATTTGGTATAAAACTCCCATCAACACAATAACAAAATAATTAAAACCAATCCAATTACTTAACATAGTAAGTCCAAAAACCCATCATCATAATAATAAATTTTTTTTAAAAAATAAAAAATAAAAAATACCTAGCCAACAAGCAACATTAATCTACAATTACACAAAGAAAAAGCAAAGCCCAACAATACAATCAACGAATATATATGTATGTGTGTGTGTATAATAATAATAAATATATAAATATAAAATCTAGCTGACCTGCTACACTGCTGGCAAAACCTCTGCTCAATACCAGCAACAATGACCTTAGGTGACTTAGAGTGCATACCACAGACTCTGTGCCTGGAATAGTAAGCTTTAGCATCACTCAGATCTACTTTACACCCTTCAACCTGACACCTGGGTGGCTGTCCACCCTGAAGAGCCCCGCTCCTCAGCTTCTTGGAGGGCGCCGGAGGTGGGTGGCCGCCGGCGCTGGCCGATGACGACGACCCACCACCGGATTTGGCCGGAGCTCCGACACAGACATCCTCGACATAGATTTTCTGGCCGAGTTTCAACCCATTGAGTGAATGATCAGACGAATTGGAAGAAGAAGAGCTCGAACCCATCTCCATGTGCGGTGGTGTCTAGAGTCCATTCATTGCTTGGGTCAAATCATGAGAGAAAGTGGTTGTGAGAGAGATATAGTAGAGATGTAGAGAGAGAGAGAGAATATGTGGAAAGAGGGTGTAAAAAAAAAAGAAAAAAAAGAAAAAAAGAGGGGTTTGGTATGGTAAGGTAAGTAAGGGGCTAGCAAGAGCCAATAATGGAGTTTGTGAATTATTTTGGAGAAGCTAAGCTAGGTGACGGTGGTGGTGTGGTGTGGTGTGGTGTAAAGTAGACACCTGACACTGGGCCATGCCAACTTTGGGGTATAGTACCCTGGGCCTGGAGTGTGTCAAATAATAGAGGAGCAGCAGAGGAGAGAGAGAGAGAGAGAGATGGGGGGTTACTTTTGGGAGTTCTCAGAAGCTTTACAACACTGCCTGTTTTTTCGTAGTATATCAATCACTAACTCATGTGTTGTTTTCAAGAACTTTCATGTTTTCTCTCTCTAAAAGGTATTATATCTGCTAATGGCAGTGGTTTGGGTGCCCATATATTATTATAAATGAGGTTGCCTCATCTTTCCGAACTGAGGTAGAGACGGAGAGAGTGATACGTGAAAAGTCAATTGAACCCTTAGCACTTAGAGATGGTAAAATGTATTTGGCGTCAGATTGGGTGGTTGTCCAATTTGACACTTTCAAAACTAGTTCTTCAAAATTGATAAATACTTCCTCTGTTTCAATCTATTCTAAAATAATTGTCATTTTTTTTTTTAAATAATATATTTTATATCTTTTCATTCATGTCTTTGAAGTTTAAAATTTTAAATTTGAATATTTATAATTTTGAAGGACAAATTAATAACTTTTTAAAAAGACAAGGCATGTCCTACATGTTTTATTAAAAATCCTTACTCTTCAAAAGTAACATTTAAATTGAATCAGAGATATTATATAAGAATATAAATATATATACACGAATATATAAGAATATATATATATACCAAGTATATATTATTAATTCATAAAATAATACTCCCCTGTCTTAATTAGTAGTCTATTTTTTTATTTTTACATGTTTCAAATTAGTTGTCTGTTTTTTAAAAATCAAAGCATCTTTTTATTCCATTTCTATCATTGTCCTTTATTTTTTTAAAAAATTTCAAACTTTGTAATTATATATAGAGTAAAGTGCAAAAAATCCTCTTCAACTATTGGCCATGTGCAATTAACCCCTCGAACTACAATTTGCCCCCTTGAACTATAAAATTTGGTGCAATTAACCCCTCACCTGACATCTCCGGCCAATTAGTTATAACGGAAATAGTGAAAGATAATTTTACCCCTATATAAAACCACGTCGTTTCAAAAAAATTTAGCAACCACCAATTTTTTTGATATTATTTTATCCATAAAAAGTAGAACTAAAAAAATAAATTCTGAAAAAAAAAATATGAAAAAACCAGGCCATCGATGATGAAGATGCCAACACACAGAGAAGTCTTCGCCTACTGTATTGTCCCTCCGGTTACGATCCTCCAAATTGGGTCGCAAGAAAAAAATAAAACCCCGAATCAAAATATCAAGGGCTGGGCAAACCCAAATCACAATCACTTTCATAGACGGTGATCGATTCCTGTCAATCTTTTACACCCCCAGTGATGGTGACGGAGGAACTGCACAACGGCGGAGGTGGAATGGACCGACAGTGAAGTGGCGGCAGCAGCAGTGGCTTGGCCGTGGATGACTTGGCGGCGCTTAGATGAAGCGACGACTGTGGGGACAAGCTCGGATGGTGGAGAAGACCGGCGAGCAAGGTGGGCTGAACGGCGATGGGATGGTTGCGACTGAACGGCGATGGGCTGGTTGCGACTTCGGCTGTGAGCTTAGGGTTGAAGAGACGGCAGTGGGGACGAGCTTAGATGGTGGGCTGAACGGTGATGGGCTGGTTCGGCCATAGTTGACTTACGGCGATGGCCTGGTTCGTTATTATAGCTATGTCATCGGCACTTTTATTCATCTTAACTAAGACATGTCGGGGATGTTCGGTCTTTGATTGCAGGCTCGCCGGCGATGACGTAGCAAACTCCGATGAACTAAACTTTGCGAATTTCAGCCAACAACAAATAGCAATAAAGTTTCACCTCTGCAACTTCCGACGAACAAAACCATACCAAACCAAACCCACAAGCTGTTCTGCCGGCGACGCAGCAAACTTCGATGAACTGAATCGCCCTGCAAAATCAGAGTTTCCAAGTCTTCATTCCGATCCCTCGATTCGTACCCCAATCCCTGTTTACCCACAAATCGACGGGCCAAAAAGGAAAATATATCCAATTTTTTGTTGAGAAAATCCCAACTTTCTCTATCCAGATTTCGCAATTTGACCCTCTTTACCGACTGTGCCTGCCACAGCTTCATTGCCGTCCTTTCCCCACCGCCGTTCTTCTGCTTCAATTCTCTGCTCAGTCGGTCGAGCCCTCACCGGTCGACCTCTTCACAGCGGACCCCTCCATCGCGGCTTGAATGAGGAAGGGCATTATGGTCCTTAACTTTTTATAAGGGTTGTATGGTCATTTAATTATATTTGGGTTGTTAGGTGACTTGAATTCACGGCAGATCGCAGGACGGGTAAATTGCTACCAAATCCCTAATTTAGGAGGGTTAATTGTCAAATTATTAAATAGGGGGTTTTCTGCTACATGATCAGTACTTTAAGAAGTTTTTTTTACTTTATTCTTATATATATTTAAATTAAAAAAGAATTATTTGATAATTTAAAAAAATAATAATACATTAATGGTATGTTTTTTTAAAAATTTCAATTTCTAAACTGGATCCCTATTTAGGGACAGGTGCAGTAATATATGGGGGGACACTTCCATTAATGCGTGGAGGTAAATTTGGGTACAATTTGGAGTGAGGACAGTCAATTACGAGTACAAAATCTGAACTCAATCATCATTAGCTTTGGGGCTTTTTATAGCCGCCAACTATAATAATCTAGGAATTGCTAGCTATAGTAGGATGCAATTGCCATTCTTGAATTTGTCGCTCTAGTCTCTACCGATGAGGAATCATTCCTCAATTTCCCAAACTATTTAGGTTATGACAATAAATTAAGTTAAAATAATAATAATAATATAAAGGAGAATCTTTCTATCCATTCCGAGCAAAAATAAACAAAAGATATATATATATATATATATTTTATTGAAATGTTTAATGTACATCTATATTGGGATGACACAGAAAGTTCCTACAACTTGCTTTATTGGTTGCTCAAAAAGGCACAGTTAACTGATACTTCCGTGTCAATTGGACCTAATTTTAAGGATTTTCAACCATTTTTATGTCGCATTGAATCGGCACTTCAAAATTTGTAGCGGAGAAAATATATATTTCAAAGCTTTTACTCCCACACATAGTACCATGATATATATATATATATTTTGGTGTACTTTCTCTTATCAATGGTAAGAATTAAAAACTTAAGAAGGATCGATGCGTTAGTAGCGTATAATACGTGAATACGGCACATGCACATATCCAATACAATTAAAAGAGTCATTAAATTTTATTTTATTTATTATTTTTTTTTTTAGAGACGGTTGGAACACACCACAACAAAGACACGGTTTGAACGCATTAAAACACTGTATGTGACTTCTAAGGGAAATGATTAAGTTTAACTAAAAATTAAAAGTAATTATCTCATGCATTTGAGGAATGATAGTTATTATACTAGTGTGGGAATTAATGGTATTGTTACTTACCGAAAGAGGCATGCCTGTCAATCACGATAGTGGCCACGGCATCTTTGCAGGCATATCAACAGCCCAGGCTTTGGCCGCCACTGCAATCATAAACGGTCCACGTCCCGAGTCTATCGGCGAACCGGTTTGTCACTATTCCACATCCAACCGGGAAGCATTTGACGTGTAGTTTTGTGATTTTTTTTTTTTATTTAGAAAAATGTGATTCAATATGTACAATTTAAAATATATTATAGGTTTATTAATAAATAATATTAATTTTAATAAAACAAAATTAACAAACATTAACTCTAAAATCCAAATTATTGATTTCATGATTATACGGGTAAAATAATTTAAAAATATTATCTATATATATTATATGATTATTTTTTGATGTATTCATGCCTGTATTGGCATTTTTTTCTCTTTTTTTTGAGTTTTAATGTAGAATAAATTACACTGACTTATCCATGAGATTTAGACAAGTTACATACGCATCCATAGTTCAACGTTAAATAATTTGACCTCTCCTAATATTTGGCGCATATGCTCAATGACACATGTTTAACTTGTTGAACAAATTTAATAAAATGAAAAATCTTTTTGTTCCCTTAAATGAAAATCTTGTCTTTTTTTTAAAATCAAGGCATTGTTGACTTTTCATATTCAAAATTACATTTTCACCGTTGTCAACCAAAATTTTCATATTTATCTGCATGTATTTTTTCAAACCACAAAAGAGATGAGTGTAATTCACCGTTGAGGTTCCGTTTGTTTCGACGTTTTTTTTTCAGGTAAAATATTTTTTTTATTTTTACTTTGTCGGTGTTTGGCAAAGGTCTACGTCGAGATTGAAGTCAAGTCCATCGGACACTGCATATAAAATAATTTGTCAAAAATTGATAGATAAGTTATTTTTATTAAATTTTAATATTTTTTTTTTTCGTAAATATTTTACGATATTTTTTAGGAAGCACTGATTATGTCTTTTTGTTCATATCAAATTATGTCTTTTTGTTCATATCAAATTATGTCTATATCAATACGAAAATATTTTACGTCAAAACAAACAAATCTTAATGTAAAAAATATTTTACTCCAAACAAACAAACCTTAATGTATTTCCCAATATATTTTCTTGTTCATATCAAATTCTGTCTATATCAGTGCTTCCTAGAATAATTTTTTATAAATCACGTGTGGTCACCAAATATTATGTAAGAAGGAATATGGAGTGAGGGCAAAAGGGTATTTTCATCTAGATGCAGTCAATTCAATCATGTAAGCATCACTTCTCCTCCCACAAAAAAAAAAAAAAAAAAAATAAATAAATAAATCTTATTTTAATTCCCACGTTTCTCTGGAATTTGGAGATATTAGGGTTTGGATTTAACATTTAAAAATACTATATATATATGTGCGTGATATATGTATAGTATTTTTTGGAATTTGAGAATGATGGGACTCTTCGATATCTTGCCAATAGATTTTGGCAGAAATAAACTGTAAACTGTGAAATGTTGATTGTTCCACTTACTATTACAAGTAAAAATTTACTTGCCCCAGTAATGTTTTAAATTTTTTTACAGAGTAATGTTTCTATTTATTTATTTATTATTAATTTTTTTTACAAAGTAAAATATATTAAAAATTAAATTAATAAATACAAAAAATCGAAATCTGACATTTTAAAATTCTTTAAAAATAAATATTTATAGAATATTATTTTCATTAAAAGTGTCGGCTTCACGAAAACATTCAATTTTAGTAATTTTTTTTTCTT